GATTTTATACATATTCTTATTATACAATGAATATACAATATGAATATACAAAGACTAAGACGAGAGTAAGATGATAATGCATGTAAAAAAATTACAATCATAATATAAAATATTTTAAAATTTTGTTTTGTATCTTATAAATGCAGAATGCTCCAAGCTTTCCAAGCTATATTTTATTAGATGTTTTAACCAATTTGATTTCTTTATGGTGAAAATACGATATGATTTATTATTTTCTAATTACTTATTTATAACTATAATTATTTCTGATAATGCCAAATATAACATATATTGATATATAAGATATATCGTAAAATACAGTATTCTACTTAAAGCAAAATAGCAACGTTTTTGGAAAATCTTGCTTAATTCCATTTTATACACGGTAGTTGCTTATCAAGGAGATTGCACATGTATGTTAATGACAAAATTTCTACATATTCACTCTCTAATGTTCTCATGAATGTAAAATAGATTCAGACCTTAATATATAATATATAATGCTCGAGAGTAGTGAATACTATATCGAAATCACTTGTAATTTTGCTTAAGCACGTTCCTCTAAATGCACTGACAAATGTGTTACGATCTGAATTATCTCCCTCCAAATTCACTTCTGAATTTTCATTAAGTTCTGTTCGCGCAAATTTCCGAAGTATTTTTTTCACGCAAAAGCGCGTTATTAAAATATGTTATCGCTGGAAAATATTCGATTGTGCGCATGTGTAGAAATTCTATAACAATTCTTTTACCATAATGTCGAGTAAAATATCCATTAGGAATTTACGTTGTAATTTACGTTTTACATCATTAAGTCATCCAGCGCATATTTTTATTAGGTGCGTTTAATTAAATTTTTTTTTATTATTGTGTTATAAGTTTTGATTATTGTTTGATTACAATATTAATTATCATATTTAAAAAAAATATTTTTAAACAATACTAAAACAAAGAATTTCGCGCTAATTGACTATGAATGTACTATCGTCATTTTAATGGAAGAAATGCATCACATTTAATTGGCACAGTCTTTTCATTTATGGGGACATATGGAAGATAACCATCGAAAATTTGTTTATGTGGTAGTATGTCATCCAACTTTGAAATTGACTTCCGATAAGCGGAGAACAAGATTGATGATCGAATGATGTGCGATGGCTGTCAAAATTTCTGGCAACCGTTGGCCATTTCAATCTGCAAAATTCAAGGATCAGTCAAATCCAATATCCCAGCCATCAAACGCAGGCAAATGCATTCATATAAAATGCTTTAAAAATATTTTGCAATAATAACAAATAAAAATTTTTGTAAATATATTAATTTTGCGTAATGCTTGTGTGTGTTTTTCTGTTTCTAAATTAGTCTAATTTTACATTCTGAATCAAGATTTAGCGATCTAGACAGTTCTTATCTTTCATTTTTATATTAAATATTTGTCGTATATATGAACAAAATTTATTGCGATTAGCTGAAAATGAGATAACGTTATAAATTTTTTTTAATATTTATTAATCCATTTATTGCTTATTTACCATCCGTATAAATGTCCTCGTGGAATTCCTTACTTTCTCGTTTCATAACCAGCCTTATTGCATTCCTATCTTTTCTTTCCAGTAGGATACTTTAAGTTTTATTTTTCTTCCGTCTATTCCCGGTGCTTCCCCGTCAAATATTTAAAGGTTTTCTCTTTTTTCAGTGAGTTGCTGTAAATGTATCACATTTATTTTTTAATAGACAGTTTCCGTAGAAAACTTGCCTCTATTGTTTTCTTTTACTCTTTGCTTTAATTATGGTGCATTACTATCTTGCTAAGCAAGTCTGGTCAATATTTCTAATCTACATAATTAACAAATTTCGTGCAAGATGGATGGACACTTGGAAGGAATATTCAACGCGATGGCGGTGATCTGCGAAAATTTCAGTTTTATCACGTAAATCTTTTATTGATCACAACGGTGCCAGCGATTCGTTACGATTGGCAGAGACATAATATCTACGGATCGCCTTCTTTATTAGCAGCACTTGAATCCGAGCGGAGAATTCTTTCTAGTAAAGCGGAACTATCCACATCCCAGACAGGAAATATGAATTTCATATTTTACGATAATATCGCGAGATGCTCGTAAGGTAAACGAATCTTGTCCCAGTCCAGTTTTCACATGCTCATGAGAAAATTGTATCTGCACTCGAATTTTCTTGAACGTTACTTCCCTTCGCTTCGATCGATTTTCTCATGTCGTGGCAGCACCATGTTAAAATTTGCACCGATAGAACCTCAAATGATAAATTGATATCGAGACGTGTACTTAATCGAAATTTATTTAAGTAGGGCGAGAAAAACTCGGCTTACAAAATAGGTGGATATCTTTTATGACACAGTAAAAATTTCATCACATAATTCTCTGCCGATATCTGATAGTTGCGTAGCGGTTACTTTTTGTTCTATTCTTCGTTCCATTATTTTTTCCATTATTTTTAATAAAAGTTCTGGGAAAAGGTACAAGTTATAATTACGAATTTTTTACAACAATAGATAAGGTAATAAAGCTTTTATTAGTGAGAAGGAAATAAAATTGAAAATTTTTCGTGCACAGTAATATGCCATGTCATGTAATTTTAGTTATATCATAATTTAGAAATATTTAACATTATATTCGAATAACGTTTAAATTACTACGAGACAAAAGGAGTTTTGTATTATCTTTTTTCACATTTCGTATTTTTATTTAAATATTTTTCTTCATGTAATCGAGGGTAATATTAAATATCGATTCATGAACTCGTGTTCGCAATGCGCCAAGAAACAGAATTACTTTTACATGTTTATCATGCTTCTTTATCGATTTCTGTGCCTTGCTCGATACTATTCATTGATGAAACGTGGCAACGTAACCGGGATTCGATTAATCGTTCTATCGTTTCACGAGTCGTCGGTTTATCGTCGCCTCGAGCAGAGCTTAGGAGACTTCACGGTTATTCCTTTCACTTGACTTACCGGCAATAGCTTCCGGTTTCATCTCAAGTACGTCCGCTTCAAGTGCTTTGCTGTATAAAGTACACATATAAAGTACACATATACGAAGCTCGTAGTTAAGAACGTGAGAGTAATCGAAAAGTCCAAGTTGAGAGGATACTATAACGCGTTATCGAATTAAAATCGATTGAAAATCTCAGAACATCTTCTGTATTTATCATAATATTATTCTCTATTAGAATAAAGATCCTAAAGAGGTGATTGACGGAAATTATTAATGAAAATTGAGCTGCATAAGTGTAACATTTATAGGCCAATTTTATTTAGTCTGTAAACGAATTGATCTCCTGATTTTTCATAACATTATATTTCTGTTAGTAATATTGCCAGACTTAATTTGCATTAAATAATTTAAAATACGAGAGTTGTTTTATAAATTCTAAGCGTGTATGTTTAATTTTCTCGTTTAACGAACGCAGTTCATTTGTATGTTTTGTGGTTACGCTGAAACTTCTATTAATCATAGACTATATTAATGCAGAAATATGTTTGATTCGACATTTTGTAGAATATTCATTACATTATAATACTAGCTTAGTGAGCATTTGACTAAATTTGCCATTAAAATTTGGTAACAAGATCTAGCTTTTAATTCGGATGTAAGCTGATCTGAATGCAGCTGATCTGAATTACTAACTAGTCTACAGCGAAATGAACGGCGATAATTTTCCAATTTCCATTTGAGGAAATCACAATCAAAATTGATATATATATTTCTATTTCTAATTGATATATATATTGATATATATATATATATATATATATATATATATATATATATATATATATATATATATATGTATGTATTTCTCACTTTAGATTGTCAAATTCTTGGTTAAATAATTGAAGATATTTTTTAATGTAATTCGTCAATAATTCTCATAATTTCCTATCATTTGTATCATATGCGACAAATAATATGTACATTGTGTACATAATAAACAAACGGAAATGTTTTTACAACTACATAAAAATAATTTATAGAATTTTTTTTTATTTTTCTGAATGAACGGTCAAACGTTTATATATTTGACGACTGAACTAGGATTTGATAGCTTAATGATAAAGTTGAAGTGCTTTGTAAATTGATGATCCATTTCCAGTGTATTCAATTTCTCTAAAAGTATTTGTACAAAAAGAAAAATACATATATAATATATGCTCCGACATACTTATTTATACTTAAATATTAAATCAGCAGTATATTTAAATAATTATTGTCATGAATTTTTACAGTATATCGCATCGTCGCATCATCGTGTCGCATTTATATATAATATAAAATTATAGAGTAGTCAAGATTACATTTTAAATCAAATAAATTCTAACGTTCATCAATAATTATTTTATTAATCATTGAATTTTCGAGAGAGAGCTCCGTTCTATCAGAGATATTTGATTCATATATGGTTTGGAATTCTTTGAAAATTAGATTACCTCGGCATGTTCTCCGTTTTCTGTTTCAAGCATCGTGACGATTAGTGAATTTCCAATACAAAGTTTGCTTTATTACTTTACACACAGGTCCGTTATCTGTGCGGCGGCAATAGCCGGTGCTATTCACGGACACTTCATTTTGCTGCAAAACAAACAAGCTTTTAATCACAGTTTCAGTTTGCAGCTATTGTCTTTACAGTGCAACGCCCCGCGTTTACCCGATTCGCGCTACCGCGGTAAAATCAATATCCACGTACCGCGCTTAATATTTTTCCACGGTTACACGTCCGTAACTGCCTTCTGAGGATGGCGCCGGGATTACGCAATACACGTACCCCATTGTATTCTGCGGAAGCACATAAAGCTGGCGACATAACGGGGTCTCCTCATTGGCGCTTGAATATTGGATAAGTTCGGCGGCGAGCGCGGGGAAAACGGAGCGATTACGGCGCCCGCCCCCCTTCACCGTCGTGCTCGAGTTTCGTCGACAATGACTATAAGAGAGACCCGCGAAATTATTATGTTTCAGCTCTGCCCCGTGAAGAGCCCGTTATCGTATCGGAACGCGAACGCTACGACCCAGGAGACATGTTAAGGGCAAATTGCAGCTTGCCACCTTCGAAGCCGCCGGTTCACCTCTCGTTCACGCTGAACAGCATACCGGTAAGTGATGCCTATCGACACGATTGTCGTATTATCGAATCAGAGAGTGAGCGAGCGAGAGAGAGAGAGAGAGAGAGAGAGAGGAAGGGGAGGACAAGATATGTGTGTAGGTAGTTCGGTT